ACCCTGTGTGTGTGTGTGACGGAGTAGCGGTTACGGTCCGATGGGATACGGGGTGGCTGGGTGGGCAGGGTGGGGTTGGTGACGGCGAGGGGGATGGGTGGGTCGGGGAAAAGAACATTGGCTGACCTCCCCCCTCCTCCATAAACCCCAACCCCTATGCGCGCTATGGAATGTGGAGCTTGGAGCACAAGCGAGCTAGGGATTTCAAACGGTCGGATATCCGTATGGAAATTCTCGTGCGGTGCTGTGCTCGCCGATGCTGCTGATGATGCAACTGATGATGCTGCTGATGCTGCTGCTGATCCTGCTGATGCTGCTGCTGTTGATCCTGCTGATACTGCTGCTGATGATGCTGCTGCTGATGCTGCTGCTGCTGATCCTGCTGCTGCTGATGCTGCTGCTACTGATCCTGCTGCTGCTGATCCTGCTGCTGCTGATCCTGCTGCTGCTGATGCTGATGGTTGTGTCGGTTGTCTGTGGTGATTGCGCCGAAGATTCTGAGAGTCCGTCTGCTAATTGCATCTCTCGTCTCATCCGTCCAATTCAGTTCAGCTCGTCACGTGTGCGTCTTCCTTCTATTCATATCTACGTTTCGTTCAATACGCCGGTCAGAACTGTCTATCAAATCCAGTCCTTCATTCATTCGCGCGGTTCATGCGTCCATACGTAATTCATTCATTGAAACAGGCGTCTGTATATTCAATGATTCATTCATTTAGGCTGCTCTCTGTATATAACCATTCGTTCACGCACCCGTCATCCGTCTATCCAATATACTCACCTATTACATCACTCAACTGTTCGTTCTATCTATCTATCCGTTAGTTAATCCATTCATTGGGCCAGTCTTCTGTAACGCCTGTCCTAAACGCATAATCTGGCTATTAATCAATCCATGCATTGGTCGCTCAGGCTGTAGCCATCCATCTGCCCTCTCATCCATTCAGGGTGTGAATTTGCCACGTGGCCATTGAGCCATCCAGCCATCCCCTCTGCCTCTCCATTCAGACAGCCATCCAATCTGCCGTCTGCAAAGCCATCTCTGGGTATTCTATACGTAATCTAATCTGTCTACACAGCAGTCCATCTAAAGATTGATCTACGTAGCCAAGATCGCTTTCTAGCCAGCTATCCAATCAGCCGTCTGCCAAGCCATCTCTGAGCATTCTATATGTACTCACATCATCGATCTGTCTACACAGCAGTCCGTCTATATGTTGATCTATATAGCAGCTATAGCTTTCTAGCCAACTATCCAATCAGCCGTCTGCCAAGCCATCTGAGTATTCTATACGTACACCCATCGATCTGCCTACACAGCAGTCCATCTATAGATTGATCGATGTAGCCACTATATCTTTACAGACAACCAGCCATCTGTCCATCGATTGTTGTATCCATCCATTTACCCATCCCTCCATCTATAGATTTATTGATCCATCCAGCAAGTCGATCATCCAACGTATGGAGCGGTGACGTGGCACAGAGGTTCGAATCCGGAAGGGCGCCCTGGTTAATAACGCGGGTGGATTAACCATAGCCTAGCACTCGCCGTCTGCTGCTTCACTGACAGTGGACGTTAAAGATCCCGTGACGCCATAAGAAACGAGTAGGCTAATCGTTGCGTGCCGGTGTCACGGTCGGAATGGGGTGCCACGGGGGCGAGGAGATGTTAACCACCTCGCCTGGTATACGGGAGGTCGTGGGTTCGCCCCCGACTATTGACGCCTGTTGCTGGATATTTGGAGTTTGCGGTGTCTCTCTCTCTTCCCGTGGTCGAGTGGATTTTTCTCTCCGCACTTAGAATCAGCTTCGGAGTTTGTGGCTGCTTTACATTTCCACACGATGATGATACGTCGCTTCGTTGAGCTATCATTTGTGATGTTCAGATCGCTTCAGAAAAAAAAATCTCTTTAGCCCAGTGGGGCCTTATCTTTTAAAATAAAATAAAAATCGTTTACTGTAGTTCTAAGTTTTAATAGCGCAAATTTAATAGCGAATATAATAGCGCATGAATAGATTTAATGGCACAGATGTGAATGGCGCAGATTCGCATGGAGGCAAACATCGCGCCCCCTTACTGTCAGACGAGGGCTCAACTTGCAGGTCGAGTCACGTTGTTCCGCACAGGGACAGCTGCCACTGGGAATGGGGGGGGGGGGCTTTGAACGTTTGAGATGCGATGCGATGTAAGGCGCTTTGATTTGCTGACACTTTTAAGTAAATGCCAAACATGTTTTTATAAATTACCATTATGGTTATATTCTTACGTTTGAGATGAGATGCGATAGAAGGTGCTTTGATATGCTGACACTTTGAAGTAAATGCCAAATATGCTTTTTAAAAATAAATTATCATAATTGTTATATTCTTACGTTTGAGATGAGATGCGATGGAAGGCGCTTTGAGTTGCTGACACTTTTAAGTAAATGCCAAAGATTATTTTAGAAATATATTATAAATATTGTTATATTCTTACGTTTGAGATGAGATGCAATAGAAGGCGCTTTGATTTGCTGACACTTTTAAGTAAATGACAAAGATGTTTTTGAAAAATGTATCATCGTTTATTATATTCCACTGGACATCTGTAAAAAAAAGAGCTTCATCGCTCATCGGATTCCTCCGGTATAAATATTCTGAATCTGATGGAACGCGATGGGTATTTGCGCTGTGTACAACGCGTGCACTGTGAGTGTCAGCACGACAGATGCGCCCCTCGAGTCTCGCCTCGAGATGCCCTCCCCTGTAGAGGACAAAGAAACAAGTCAACGCGTTTGTCGATAGCACCGCGTGTGTGTGTCTGTGCGTGCCCTTAAATAGGACACATATAATAGGCGACGTTTCGGGAAATGGCCCTTCTCCATAGCACGTACAAATAATAAAATCCCCAGGGAGAGGCAACAAAAATAAAAATAACGATGAGAAATGTGTTTTTGATAGAATTCGATCTGAAACAAAATAACCCCCCCCCCACCAACGCACAATTCAATATCTCAATAGTCGCCATGCAACGTGGGTGAATACGAACTGTGGTGGCCCTTTAATAAATGACGTCACAGAGTAGCAGCAACAACAACCACAACAACCGCCGCCATTCGCCACTTGGTGGCGGTGACGTCAGCACGGCGCTTTTCGTGCCAGGCTAGGTGCACGTTGAGGCCGCGTGACGTGTCGAACGCCCGCTGGCATGAGGTCACGAAGCCAAGGCAAAGATCTCCCGTGTAGCCTTTAACAGGCTGTAGGGGCAAGTGCTGTTAGCGAGCAGCACCTATGAAGGCCGGCACGGCACACGAAAGGGGTGGGTGACCAGCACCGCGCCCCACCGCCTTTGTCTCCCCAGTGGCGATGTTCACACATCGCACCAGGTACTAGTTTGAGGCCGCTTCAGACAATCGTCACCGGTGTTGGCCGCGAGCGGGAATCGAACTCGGCTCGCCGGGTTCGTAGTGCAGAGCGCGGTAACGGCTTGGACGTTACCGGACCACCCCCTCTCACCTGTGCTAGAGGTAGACGTCGTTGCATCTTCTCTGTCCCAGTGTTTCCCGGCGTATTGGAAGAGGGGTGCAAATACCCACGCTTTGAATGTCCATGTCGGCTCGCCAATCAATATGACCTTGACCCCCCCCCCGTGGCATATCGAGCTGCGGTTGGGTCAACGCAGGCCGTGCTGGATGGTCATTGAGTTTCAAAACCTCTTGAACTGATTAACAAGATGTGGGAGGGGGGGGGGGGTGTTGGGGGCCCGGAGAGGGGGGTGGAGAGGGGAGGGGGTGGGGGAGACACGTGTACATCGTAAACCGCACGCAACACACAAACCGATGTTGCAAGGTCAGAGGTTTTTCTTGTTGTCGTTTTCCCCACAAAGCGATTTTTCTTCTGTATTCCAGTAACACGCCGGATTTATGGTTGCCGCGCTTAATTATTAACACCGCTACCTGCTTTAAAACGAAAATTTTTTTAATTGTATTTTTGATTTTACCAGGTTAAGGCCAACATCTACGTAGCTCCATTTTCAGCAAGCGACCTGACCGTCACAAATGATAGCTCAACGAAGTGGCTTATCATCATCATCACCATGTGGAAATTTCACATCAGCTGCCAAATACTCCAAACGCCGTGATGTTCATTCTAAATGTGGAGGGAAAAACCGGAGGACCTGGAAGAAAAATCCAAGTAACCATTGGGGGGAGAGATACACCGCAAACTCCAAATATACAGCAGACGTCAGGGTCGGGAACCCACGACCTCTTGTATACCAGGCGAGGTAGTTAACATCTCCTAGCCACCGTGGCGCCTACCATTTATACCAAGTGGGAAAAAAATAGAAAACACCCGAACAAAACCCACGCCTTGCACACGGGGGAGAGCAACACTCTTATCCCCGTACAGATGGAAACAGATGGGAGATTAATCCACTCGCTGTACTGCCTTGTACAGCAAGAGGGCTAGGCACTGCCGCATAAATATCTCACTTTTTTCACTGCACCGACTCCGATGAATTGGTCACGAGTCGGGCGTTAGTGTTCGTACACGTGGCTGTGCCTGTGTGCGTGTGTTCTTTGTACATAGGCCGACGCGTTAAGCATCGCCACTCGGGAGACAAAGGCGGCCGGGCGTGGTGCTGGCCACCCACCCCCTCATGTGCCGTGCCGGCCTTCATAACAGTTCTTGCCCCAACAGTATGTTAAGACTATAGGGGGGGGGGGATCTTTGTCTTGGTACATAGGATGATGTGTTCCTTCCCACCCTTCGTCTGCCTGTCTCGCCGACATCAGTCCGTCCATCTATCCGTTTGTCAAATCTGTCCGTCCGTCCATGCGTCTGACGTCCGTCCGTCATATCCGCTCGCCCGTCTGTCCGTTCGTCTGTCTGACGTCCCTCCATCCGTCCATGCGCCCACCTGTCCATCCGTCCGTCCGTTCATTCGTCTGTGGGTCTGACTCCATCCGTCCGTCCGTCTGACGTCCGTGCGCGTGCCCGTGCGTGTGCGCCGTCAGGAGGAGCCACCATGCCGTTCAGCAACACCCACAACGCGTTCAAGCTGCGCTACTCGTCCGAGGCCGAGTTCCCGGACTTGAGCCAGCACAACAACCACATGGCCAAGGTGCTCTCGCCCGAGATGTACGCGGCCCTGCGCGAGAGGCACACCCCCAGTGGCTTCACCCTGGACGACGTCATCCAGACCGGGGTGGACAACCCGGGTGAGTCGCTCCGAGCGTTTGTCACCGCGGCAGCGGCGGTCGTGAATGGTGATTCATAATAATAGTTGTCATTGTAATGATCATGACGACGACGATGACCCTTGCGTACGAACGATGGGAGTGAGAGGAGATCAGGAGCTCTATAAAAAACTAAACTATTTTACCAGGTAAATGTCCCACTGAGCTGCGTAGCTCTTTTTCGGAAGCTACCTGGCTATTGCAAATGACAGCTCAACGAAGTTGCCCATCATGTAATGTGGACATGTATAGCAGCCACGCACTTTCAACGCGTGACGTTTATTCTAAACGTGGAGGGGAAAAAATGGAGGGATCCGGAGAAAAATCCACGCGACCACGGGGGGAGAGAGAGAGAGACGCAAACTCCAAATATACAGCAGGGGTCAGGGTTGGGATCGGACCCATGACCTCTTGCATACCAGGCGAGGTAGTTAACATCTCACCACCGTGATGATGATGAGAGAGAGAGAGACACGTAAACTCCAAATATACAGCAGGTGTCAGGGTCGCGATCGGACCCACGACCTCCTGCACAGCGGGCGAGGTAGTTAACATCTCACAACGCCTCCTACTCCAACACCCTCGTGTGGCACTGTGCCGGCCTTAAACAGCCGCCGCCACCGCCGCTGCTGCTGCTGCTCATGCTCACAGCACTTGCCACCCCTCCCCCCCTCACACCACCACAGGCCATCCGTTCATCATGACGGTGGGCTGCGTGGCGGGAGACGAGGAGTCCTACGAGGTCTTTAAGGAGCTCTTTGACCCCATCATCCAGGACCGGCACAACGGCTACCTCCCAACGGACAAGCACAAGACCGACATCGACGCAGACCACCTGAAGGTGCGCGCCACGCCGCTCGCGGGGTGCTGGCCCGTCTGTCCGTCCGTCTGTCCGTCCGTCTGTCTGTCTGTCCGTCTGTCCGTCCGTCTGTCCGTCCATCTGTCTGCTGGTCCGACTCTTTGTTCGTCTGGCTATCAGTCCGTCTATCCGTCTGTCTGTCGGTCCAACTGTCTGTCCACCTGTTTTCTGGTCCGTCTACCTGTCAGTCCGTCCGTCTGTCTGTCTGTCTGTCCATCTGTCTGCTGGACCGACTGTCCGTCTGCCTGTCAGTCCGTCCGTTTGTATGTCCATCTGTCCGTCTGTGTACTGGATCTACTGTCTTTACATCTGTCTGTGTGTCTGTCTGTCCATCTGTCCTTCCTTCTGTCCATCTGTCCGCATATCCTCGGTGGTCAAAGCCTTACAAGGGTTAAAGTCACTCGTGTGTTACGTAGAATTAATTCACCGGGTAAAGACGCTGCGTCCGTGTGTCCGCACCCGGCCGCGGTGTGCGTCGAACGTCATCACCGGGGGAGACAAAGGCGCCTCCCAACAGCCCTTAGCCCCGGCGGTCTGTTCGAGGCTACGCGGGGGACCTTTGTCTCTGCTGTGCGTGCAGGGGGGGGACGACCTGGACCCGGACTACGTGCTGAGTAGCCGCGTGCGCACCGGGCGCAGCATCCGGGGATTCTGCCTCCCCCCTCACTGCAGCCGCGGGGAGCGCCGAGCCATCGAGACCCTCTCCATCGAGGGTGAGAGTCGGGGGGGGGGGGCTGGGGTTGGGGGGGGGCAGGGAGGGGGGCACAGCTCATCGTCATCATCACTGTCGTCATCACCGTCATCATCATCGTCATCATCGTCGTCATCATCGTCATCATCATCGTCATCACCATCATCATCGTCATCACCATCATCATCGTCACCATCATCATCATCGTCATCACCGTCATCATCATGGTCGTCACCATCGTCATCACCATCATCGTCATCACCGTCGTCATCATCATCGTCACCGTCATCATCATCGTCATCACCGTCATCATCATCGTCGTCACCATCGTCATCACCGTTTTCATCATCGTCGTCACCACCATCATCGTCATCGCCCATCAAGGGTGAGTGGGGGTGAAAATCTCATCGTCATCATCATCGTCCATTGAGAGTGGGAGGTGGTGAGACGCAGCGTCTAATTTAGGCCAGGTGGTCCGTCCAGCTCAATGACCCGGACAATATTATCCATACCCGGCACACCACATCCATTGTACATCTCTCTACGGCTGTGGCTAATGTGGTCACGTGCCAGACACTTCTGTTAATCCCGCAAAGAAAAAAACAAATTAGTGACACCACTAAGCCCCGTCTCCTCCCCCAATTCCCCCTACCTCCTCCCTCCTCCCCTCTCCCTCCTCCCCTCCTACTTCCCACCAGCCCTGAGCCAGCTGGATGGGGATCTGCAGGGGAAGTACTACGCGCTCAAGAGCATGACTGACGCCGAGCAGCAGCAGCTGATCGACGACCACTTCCTGTTCGACAAGCCCGTCTCCCCGCTGCTGCTCGCGTCCGGCATGGGCCGCGATTGGCCCGACGGCCGCGGGATCTGGTACGTGGGGTTGGTGGTGGCAGTTGGTGGCGAGCATCAGCTGGCCGCCCCGGTTAATACCGCGGCGGTCGTGGTAATTGACCGTGATGATCTGAATTGTATGTTTCACTCAAGGCGCTCGATGACGCAGTCTTTACAAAACGGTGGCAGGGAACGGAATGATGGAGTTGGCAGGGGGGTGCGAGTGCTTGCAAGGTTTCGAGGAACGAGTGACAGCAGCGATATAGAGGGATACTTGGGGGTCACGAAAGGGCTATAGGGGAGGGACGGGAAGGAGTGGAGGGGGCGAGGGGATGGAAGAGGATGGGCATGGGTGATGGTAGACGAGAGGTGAGGCTTTGAGAGAGGAACGGGAGGAGGTTAATGAAGGGGACTTCTTCATGTGCAGAGGCAGTGTTGAGTCTATGGTGCAGTGTTGAGTCTATGGTGCAGTGTTGAGTCTATGGTGCAGTGTTGAGTCTATGGGCAGTGTTGAGTCTATGGTGCAGTGTTGAGTCTATGGTGCAGTGTTGAGTCTACGGGCAGTGTTGAGTATATGGTGCAGTGTTAAGTCTATGGTGCAGTGTTGAGTCTATGGTGCAGTGTTGAGTCTATGGTGCAGTGTTGAGTCTATGGTGCAGTGTTGAGTTTATCGGCAGAAGGATAGACAACAGGATTGGGCACAGGGAGAAGGAGGGACAGAGAGGGAGACGAGAGAGGCGAGATGAAGTGGGGCAAGGCTATGGAGAGATTTGAAGACGCGCTTCACGTGGTGATGACGAGGAGGATGGCGATGCCACCACGACTCCTACGCGCCCATCTGCTTCTCTCTCGGTGGACGTCACTGGCAGCTACCGTGTGCCGGCACAGTCAGTCCGGTTCACCATCGGAAAATTTTACAAATTTCCGCTGCGTGACTCAAATCGCGAAACTTAAGCCGAACTCTCCACTCCCCCCTCCACCTCATCCTCTTACTCCTCCTGATACTCCTCCTTCTCCTCCTTCATCACCTCCTCCCAGAGGTCGCAAACGGGTTTTGATTCCTTACCCGTACCCAGCTGGGTACGGGTAGCCGGGTATCGGGTAGGGTACGGGTATCGGGTACCCGGTTGCGACCTCTGCCTCCTCCTCCTCGTTCATCACCTTAATTCCTCCATCTCACATTCTCCTCCCACCTCCTCCGTCTCCCTCCCTCCCCACCACATCCTCCTCCTCCCTCTTCCTCCTCTATCTCACGATCGCCTCCTCTACTCTCACCCTCTTCCTCCCCTCTCCTCCCCGTGGTGCTGGTGGTGGTGGTGCTGGTGCTGGTGGTGGTGATGCTGGTGGTGCTGGTGGTGGTGCTGGTGGTGGTGGTGATGGTGGTGGTGCTGGTGGTGGTGGTACTGGTGGTGGTGATGCTGGTGGTAGTGGTGGTGATGCTGGTGGTGTTGGTGGTGGTGCTGGTGGTGGTGCTGGTGGTGGTGATGCTGGTGGTGGTGGTACTGGTGGTGGTGATGCTGGTGGTAGTGGTGGTGATGCTGGTGGTGGTGATGCTGGTGGTGCTGGTGGTGGTGCTGGTGGTGGTGGTGATGGTGGTGGTGCTGGTGGTGATGCTGGTGCTGGTGGTGATGCTGGTGGTGGTGTTGGTGGTGGTGATGCTGGTGGTGCTGGTGGTGGTGATGCTGGTGGTGGTGGTACTGGTGGTGGTGATGCTGGTGGTAGTGGTGGTGATGCTGGTGGTGGTGATGCTGGTGGTGCTGGTGGTGGTGCTGGTGGTGGTGGTGATGGTGGTGGTGCTGGTGGTGATGCTGGTGCTGGTGGTGATGCTGGTGGTGGTGTTGGTGGTGGTGCTGGTGGTGGTGCTGGTGGTGGTGATGCTGGTGGTGGTGGTACTGGTGGTGGTGATGCTGGTGGTAGTGGTGGTGATGCTGGTGGTGGTGATGCTGGTGGTGCTGGTGGTGGTGCTGGTGGTGGTGGTGATGGTGGTGGTGCTGGTGGTGATGCTGGTGCTGGTGGTGATGCTGGTGGTGGTGTTGGTGGTGGTGCTGGTGGTGGTGCTGGTGGTGGTGATGCTGGTGGTGGTGGTACTGGTGGTGGTGATGCTGGTGGTAGTGGTGGTGATGCTGGTGGTGGTGATGCTGGTGGTGCTGGTGGTGGTGCTGGTGGTGGTGGTGATGGTGGTGGTGCTGGTGGTGATGCTGGTGCTGGTGGTGATGCTGGTGGTGGTGTTGGTGGTGGTGCTGGTGGTGGTGCTGGTGGTGGTGATGCTGGTGGTGGTGGTACTGGTGGTGGTGATGCTGGTGGTAGTGGTGGTGATGCTGGTGGTGGTGATGCTGGTGGTGCTGGTGGTGGTGCTGGTGGTGGTGGTGATGGTGGTGGTGCTGGTGGTGATGCTGGTGCTGGTGGTGATGCTGGTGGTGGTGTTGGTGGTGGTGATGCTGGTGGTGCTGGTGGTGGTGATGCTGGTGGTGGTGGTACTGGTGGTGGTGATGCTGGTGGTAGTGGTGGTGATGCTGGTGGTGGTGATGCTGGTGGTGCTGGTGGTGGTGCTGGTGGTGGTGGTGATGGTGGTGGTGCTGGTGGTGATGCTGGTGCTGGTGGTGATGCTGGTGGTGGTGTTGGTGGTGGTGATGCTGGTGGTGCTGGTGGTGGTGATGCTGGTGGTGGTGGTACTGGTGGTGGTGATGCTGGTGGTAGTGGTGGTGATGCTGGTGGTGGTGATGCTGGTGGTGCTGGTGGTGGTGCTGGTGGTGGTGGTGATGGTGGTGGTGCTGGTGGTGATGCTGGTGCTGGTGGTGATGCTGGTGGTGGTGTTGGTGGTGGTGCTGGTGGTGGTGCTGGTGGTGGTGATGCTGGTGGTGGTGGTACTGGTGGTGGTGATGCTGGTGGTAGTGGTGGTGATGCTGGTGGTGGTGATGCTGGTGGTGCTGGTGGTGGTGCTGGTGGTGGTGGTGATGGTGGTGGTGCTGGTGGTGATGCTGGTGCTGGTGGTGATGCTGGTGGTGGTGTTGGTGGTGGTGCTGGTGGTGGTGCTGGTGGTGGTGATGCTGGTGGTGGTGGTACTGGTGGTGGTGATGCTGGTGGTAGTGGTGGTGATGCTGGTGGTGGTGATGCTGGTGGTGCTGGTGGTGGTGCTGGTGGTGGTGGTGATGGTGGTGGTGCTGGTGGTGATGCTGGTGCTGGTGGTGATGCTGGTGGTGGTGTTGGTGGTGGTGATGCTGGTGGTGCTGGTGGTGGTGATGCTGGTGGTGGTGGTACTGGTGGTGGTGATGCTGGTGGTAGTGGTGGTGATGCTGGTGGTGGTGATGCTGGTGGTGCTGGTGGTGGTGCTGGTGGTGGTGGTGATGGTGGTGGTGCTGGTGGTGATGCTGGTGCTGGTGGTGATGCTGGTGGTGGTGTTGGTGGTGGTGATGCTGGTGGTGCTGGTGGTGGTGATGCTGGTGGTGGTGGTACTGGTGGTGGTGATGCTGGTGGTAGTGGTGGTGATGCTGGTGGTGCTGGTGGTGGTGATGCTGGTGGTGGTGATGCTGGTGGTGCTGGTGGTGGTGCTGGTGGTGGTGGTGATGGTGGTGGTGCTGGTGGTGATGCTGGTGCTGGTGGTGATGCTGGTGGTGGTGTTGGTGGTGGTGCTGGTGGTGGTGCTGGTGGTGGTGATGCTGGTGGTGGTGGTACTGGTGGTGGTGATGCTGGTGGTAGTGGTGGTGATGCTGGTGGTGCTGGTGGTGGTGATGCTGGTGGTGCTGATGGTGGTGGTACTGCTCGTGGTGGTGCTGGTGATACTTGTGGTGGTGCTGGTGGTGGTGGTGATGGTGGTGATGCTGCTGGTGGTGTGGGGAGTGGTGATGGTCGCGGTTAGCGCGCTGCGGATTATCTGAACCGGTCCTGGACCTCCCCTAAGTCGACTCAGCCTCGAATGAGTACCTGGTGCGCTGTGTAGTAAACATCGCCACTGGGGAGACAAGCGCGGCTGGGCGTGGTGTTGGCCACCCACCCCCTCGTGTGCCGTGCCAGCCTTTATAGGTGCTCGCTAACAGCACTTGCCCCCACAGTATGTTAAGGCTACACGGGGGATCTTTGTCTTTGATGCTGGTGGTGCTGGTGGACAGGCACAACGACACCAAGAAGTTCCTCGTGTGGGTGAACGAGGAGGATCACCTCCGCGTCATCTCCATGGAGAAGGGCGGCGACATGAAGTCCGTCTTCCAGCGCTTCTGCACCGGCCTCACCAAGGTGAGCAGCGGCCTCCCCCCTCCACCTCCACCCCTCGCCTCCATCCCCTTCTGCTTTCCCCTCCCTCCTCCACCTAGTCCCCCTCCTCCAATCATCCCACATCCTTCCCTCCTCCTGGTCCTCCTACACCTCGATTTAACCGTCGGTCTCCGCCACGTCTTGCCCCCCTCCCCCTATGTCCCCACCCCCTCCCTCCCCCTGTCGCCCCCCCACCCCCCACACCCCCACCCACCCCGCCCCCTTCCTCCTCGCCCCACCCACCCACCCACCTCATTGGCCCCGGCGGCAGATCGAGGATATCTTCAAGCAGAAGGGCCACCCGTTCATGTGGAACGAGCACCTGGGCTACGTGCTCACGTGTCCCTCCAACCTGGGCACGGGGCTGCGTGCCGGCGTGCACATCAAGCTGCCCCACCTCAGCAAGCATGCCGGCTTCGGGGACACGCTCAAGCGCCTGCGCCTGCAGAAGCGCGGCACGGGTACGCGCGCGCGTGTGTGTGTTAGTGACCGCGCGGGAGAGAGAGAGACACCGCAAACTCCAAATATATAGCAGGCGTCAGGGTCACGATCGAACCCACGACCTCCTGCATACCAGGCGAGTGAGTTAACATCTCCTAGCCATCGTGATGATGATGAGAGAGAGAAACACCGCAAACTTCAAATATACAGCAGGCATCAGGGTCGGGATCGAACCCACGACCTCCTGCATTCCAGGCGAGGGAGTTAACATTTCCTAGCCATCATGATGATGATGAGAGAGAGAGAGACACCGCAAAATCCCAATATATAGCAGGCGTCAGGGTCAGGATCAAACCCACGACTTTCTGCATTCCAGGCGAGTGAGTTAACATCTCCTAGCTATCGTGATGATAATGAGAGAGAGAAACACCGCAAACTTCAAATATACAGCAGGCATCAGGGTCGGGATCGAACCTACGACCTCCTGCATTCCAGGCGAGGTAGTCAACATCTCCTAACCACCGTGATGATGATGAAAGAGAGAGAGACACCGCAAGTTCCAAATATATAGCAGGCGTCAAGGTCAGGATCGAACCCACGACCTCCTGCATACCAGGCGAGGTAGTCAACATCTCCTAGCCACCGTGATGATGATGAGAGAGAGAGAGAGAGACACCGCAAACTCCAAATATATAGCAGGCGTCAGGGTCACGATCGAACCCACGACCTCCTGTATACCAGGCGAGTGAGTTAACATCTCCTAATCATCGTGATGATGATGATGATGATAGAGAGAAACACCGCAAACTTCAAATATACAGCAGGCGTCAGGGTCGGGATCGAACCCACGACCTCCTGCATACCAGGCGAGGGAGTTAACATCTTGCCCCCCTCTCTGGCAGGCGGCGTGGACACGGCGGCCGTCGGCGGCGTCTTCGACATCTCCAACGCCGACCGCATCGGCTTCTCCGAGGTGGAGCTCGTCCAGATGGTGGTGGACGGCGTGAAGCTGCTCGTCGAGATGGAGAAGCGCCTCGAGAAGGGCGGCAGCATCGACGACCTCGTGCCGGCGCCCAAGTGAGAGGAGCCCGGTGCCCTCTTCGGTGATGGTGGGGGGGCGGGAGGAGCGGTGGTGGAAGATAAGCCGCTCGCCTGCTCGCTTGCCCGCTCGCCCGCTCGCCCGCTCGCTCGCTCGCCCGCTCGCCCGCTCGCTAGCCCGCTCGCTCGCGTGTCCACTGCTCGCCACAATACTTTGCCTGTCCGTCCAGCTGCCTGCTCACCGAAACGCTCACCTGTCAATATACTGAACCGATCAAATTGTCCGTCCGGCGAACTGCTTACCGAAACACTCACCTGTCTATATACTGAACCGATCAAACTGTCCGTCCGGCAAACCGCTCACCGAAACACTCACCTGTCTATATACTGAACCGATCAAATTGTCCGTCCGGCGAACTGCTCACCGAAACACTCACCTGGCCGTCCAGCCCTCTCTGTTCATCGATTCGCTCAGCAGTTCGTCCGTTCGCTTGGCTTGCGTGCTATAAGCTCCCTGATTCAGCCGTCTACCCACACACCTGGGAATCCAGATACCAACCAGTTCACCTGCGCGCCCACCCACGTACCCACGCAGCTGAAAGTCAGTATACCCATAAACCTACTTACACAGCCACCTACCCAGCCACGTGCCTACCTGCACAGCCACCTGTACACCCGCTTCCCTACCTGCCCAGCTACCAATCTGCCGAGCCACTTACTCGCATACCCCAACCACCGCAACCTTACCCCACCTATCCAGCGCAACCGCCTACCGAAGTGTACCCCACGTACCCATCCACTCAACCACCTCCCCACTCAGCTACCTTTATCATTACTCTGCGTTGGTAGCTCACGTGACGCCATCCCGCCTCACCCCCCTAGCCCCCCCCCCCGCCCCCACCACATCGAGTGATGTCTAATGATGTAGCCCCCCCCCCCTCGTGTTACAACGCGCGTGGTGTGATTTATTTTTTATGATTATTATTGTGATTAATTGTTAAACAGTAGTATATTTTTTGGGGGTTGCAATTTAGTGGTGATGATGATGACTCCGATTATGAAGGTTGACATAGGTCGTGATTAGGGCATTGTGGTGATGATGATGGTGATGATGAAGGTGATGATGATGGTAATTATGATGATGATGGCACCCGATGAACGTTAACTCTCATCGCGAGAGGCAATGATGATCGTAATGATGACTTCATACATTGTGATGATGATGATGGTGGTGATGATGTTGATGCGGTTAACGATGCTTTCTTAAAGAGGTTAGAAGCATTTCAGATGGCGGTACCACACTCGTTCTCTTCCACCTAAACCCCACACGGACACACACACACGCACGAGTGATCAAATGCTGCTAAAATGAACACAAGAACGTTGTACGCCACGCGTATTACACACACACAGTGAGAGATGCGTCACCACACGTACACACACAGGTACACAATATATTCCTAATGACATCACCATTAGCCTAGGGAAATAGATGAGGTCAGCGTTGGTCTGTATCGGGTCCCGCGTGACGCTACTCCCCTCTACCCTTGCCTCTCTTCCTCTCTGTCTCTCTCTCTCTCTTACAACTAAATTAACAAACACACAGAGACAGGGCCGTCCATATGGTTGGGCAACTCATCCAGTGTGACACCCCCCCCCCCCCACAACGCCTTCAAAATAAATCGAAAGTATTACATCTGACACCGTGATGTCGAAGCGCGGGCGCCCCCCCCCCCCCACTCCACTCCTCCCACCAAAGCGCGGGGCCCGGGGCGGTCGCCCGTGATTAGCCGTGCACTCGAGAGAGGGACGGCTCTGCCCAGAGGCTGAGAGGCCACTAAACTCACGCACCCCCCCCCCGGTCCTCCTTGATTGAAGAGGGACCACGGGACCACCCAACCACCCCCCTCTGTCACACTCCCCAAACCGCGCTCTTACCAGTGGACCTTGTTTTCTATGGAAGTCGCTCGAAACTGCGATCGATAGAAAACAAAATAAAAGCGGATGAGACGCGAAGTGTTTATGGCGCTGTGACTTCCTCTGTGCGCGTGTGGAGTGTGTGGAGTGTGTTGAGTGTGCGTGCGTGGTGAGTGATGGTGGCTTGCGTGTGTGGGCAATGATTGTGACCGTGTGTGTGTGGAGAATGTGTGATGAGTGTGAGTGGTGAGTGATTGTGACTGTGTGTGTGTGTGGAGAGTGTGTGATGAGTGTGAGTGGTGAGTGATTGTGACTGTGTGTGTGTGTGGAGAGTGTGTGATGAGTGTGTGTGGTGAGTGATTGTGACTGTGTGTGTGTGTGGAGAGTGTGTGATGAGTGTGAGTGGTGAGTGATTGTGACTGTGTGTGTGTGTGGAGAGTGTGTGATGAGTGTGTGTGGTGAGTGATTGTGACTGTGTGTGTGTGTGGAGAGTGTGTAATGAGTGTGCGTGGTGAGTGATTGTGACTGTGTGTGTGTGGAGAATGTGTGATGAGTGTGTGTGGTGAGTGATTGTGGCTGTGTGTGTGTGGAGAATGTGTGATGAGCGTGAGTGGTGAGTGATTGTGACTGTGTGTGTGTGGATAGTATGTAATGAGTGTGAGTGGTGAGTGATGGTATGAGTGGAGCGGTTAACGCCCTGCGCTACAAACCTGGCGTACCGAGTTCGATTCCCGCTCACGGCCAACACCAGTGACGATTATCTGAACCGGACCTGGGCCTCCCCAAGGTCGACTCAGCCCCAAATGAGTACCTGGTACGGTGTGTAAATATTGCAACCAGGGAGACAAAGGCGGTCGTGTGTGGTGCTGGCCACCCACCCCCTCGTGAGCCGTGCCGGCTTTGCAAAGGTGCTCGTTAACAGCACTTGCCCCAACAGTCCATTCAGGCTATACGGGGGATCTTTGTCTGTGGTGTAGCCCATGGTGGTACACGGTTCTAGTAACCGCACGGTAATATTATTCCCATTTAAAAGAGACAACTTTTCCGGTATCGATCCCGATGGGAGATCTCAGGGGCTCCGCTAAGCACCCTTTAAGGGTGTGTGTGAGCGTCTTACGGCTGTGGATATTTGGGGTGGCGTTTAATACATTTATGTAAGCGCAGCCCTGCAAGTGCTTGATCACGCCGCTGCTGACGGAAGTGGCCCCTCTATTGAAACAAACGTTTTTTATACTTTACCAGGTAAGGCCCACTGAGCTCTATTCGCTCATTTTAAGAAGCGACATTTCGTCGTGTGGAAATGTCTCGCAGCCAAATACGCGACGTGTGTGATGTTGATTACAAGTGTGGAGGGAAAACACCGGAGGATCCGGTGAACAATGTACGCGACCACGAGGAGATAGAGAGAAAGACACCGCAAACTCCAAATGTACAGCAGCAGGCGTCAGGGTCGGGATCGAACCCACGACCTCCTGCATACCAGGCGAGGTGGTTAACATCTCCTAGCCACCGTGATGATGATGAGAGAGAGAGAGACACCGCAAACTCAAAATATACAGCAGCAGGCGTCAGGGTCGGGATCGAACCCACGACCTCCTGCATACCAGGCGAGATGGTTAACATCTTCTAGCCACCATGATGATGATGATGAGAGAGAGAGACACCGCAAACTCAAAATATACAGCAGCAGGCGTCAGGGTCGGGATCGAACCCACGACCTCCTGCATACCAGGCGAGGTGGTTAACATCTCCTAGCCACCGTGATGATGATGAGAGAGAGAGAGACACCGCAAACTCCAAATATACAGCAGCAGGCGTCAGAGTCGGGATCGAACCCACGACCTCTTGCAAGCCAGGCGAGGTGGTTAACATCTCCTAGCCACCGTGATGATGATGAGAGAGAGAGACACCGCAAACTCCAAATATACAGCAGCAGGCGTCAGGGTCGGGATCGAACCCACGACCTCCTGCATACCAGGCGAGGTGGTTAACATCTCCTAGCCACCGTGATGATGATGAGAGAGAGAGAGACACCGCAAACTCCAAATATACAGCAGCAGGCGTCAGGGTCGAGATCGATCCCACGACCTCCTGCATACCAGGCGAGGTGGTTAACATCTCCTAGCCACCGTGACGATGATGAGAGAGAGAGAGAGACATCGCAAACTCAAAATATACAGCAGCAGGCGTCAGGGTCGGGATCGAACCCACGACCTCCTGCATACGAGGCGAGGTAGTTAACATCTCCTAGCCACCGTGATGATGATGAGAGAGAGAGACACCGCAAACTCCAAATTACAGCAGCAGGCGTCAGGGTCGGGATCGAACCCACGACCTCCTGCATACCAGGCGAGGTGGTTAACATCTCCTAGCCACCGTGATGATGATGAGAGAGAGAGACACCGTAAACTCCAAATATACAGCAGCAGGCGTCAGAGTCGGGATCGAACCCACGACCTCCTGTACACCAGGCGAGGTGGTTAACATCTCGCCACCACAACTGTCGAACTTAGAGGGGGGTAACTCGGTCTCCTCTTCCACGGTGAGCAGAGACAAAGACGCGTCTGGAGAAGAGATTCGGAGCACCCACATTTGACCCCACGGCACGCGCCACCTGCCGTTCGATCAATGGGCGAACAGCAGCGGCGAAGTCGTTGATAGTGCGGGACGTGGACAGAGGGCGCAGGAGAGGAGTGAGCGTGGTGAGGGGGGGGATTGCGGAACCGACGTTCAAATTGGCACGCAGGCAGATGGAATCAGGTCAGCTTTTAAGAGCGGTGGCGCTGCGGTTGGGCACGCCACGGTTCCCGCTCGCGGTCAACCACCAGAAGACGAATATCTCAACCGGTACCGGTCGTGGGTCTCCCCTAGGTCGGCTCAGCCTTCGACGAGGCAACGTCGTGCGCTGTGGCGATCATCATCGGCGCTTTACGCACTGAAAGCACTTGCCTCAATTGCCTGCAAGAGGCTGCACGGGTGACCTTTGTCTTTGCTTGACAGGTGTGCGCGCGTGTGTAGAGGTGGATGGGAGGGTGGGTGGTGGGGGGAGGGGCTGCGAGGCCCCAGTGTCGTATTTAATTGGAGCAAGGGAGGGGGTGATGACAGGGGGGGGTGAGGTGGGGGTAAAGGGGCTAGACGAAGGTGGAAAGGGCGAGAGGGGAGGGAGCAGGTGAGGGTGGGAGGGGGCCACGTGTGGAGCGAGGGAGGACGCTGGGCGGGGGGGGGGGAGTGGGGGGAGCGGGCGGAGTAGGGGGGAGGAAAAGGGGGGGGGGCGAGTGGGGGTGGGTGATGATCAGGGACGGAAACAGAGGGGAGGATAGGGGAGGGGGTGGCGGTCGAGACCCCCCCCCCCACCCCGCTAGGACAGGGGGAGGACGAGGAGGCTGTGAGTCGAACTCGCAGCGTACAGCTGCTGTGAGTACGCATTGTGTGGGAGTCCAGTTCACCATGGGAGTCCAGTTCACCATGGGAGTCTAGTTCACCATGGGAGTCCAGTTCACCATGGAAGTCCAGTTCACCATGGGAGTCCAGTTCACCATGGGAGTCCAGTTCACCATGGGAGTCTAGTTCACCATGGGAGTCCAGTTCACCATGGGAGTCCAGTTCACCATGGAAGTCCAGTTCACCATGGGAGTCCAGTTCACCATGGGAGTCTAGTTCACCATGGAAGTCCAGTTCACCATGGGAGTCCAGTTCACCATGGGAGTCCAGTTCACCATGGAAGTCCAGTTCACCATGGGAGTCCAGTTCACCATGGAAGTCCAGTTCACCATGGGAGTCCAGTTCACCATGGGAGTCCAGTTCACCATGGGAGTCTAGTTCACCATGGGAGTCCAGTTCACCATGGGAGTCCAGTTCACCATGGAAGTCCAGTTCACCATGGGAGTCCAGTTCACCATGGGAGTCTAGTTCACCATGGAAGTCCAGTTCACCATGGGAGTCCAGTTCACCATGGGAGTCCAGTTCACCATGGAAGTCCAGTTCACCATGGGAGTCCAGTTCACCATGGAAGTCCAGTTCACCATGGGAGTCCAGTTCACCATGGGAGTCCAGTTCACCATGGGAGTCTAGTTCACCATGGGAGTCCAGTTCACCATGGAAGTCCAGTTCACTATGGGAGTCCAGTTCACCATGGGAGTCCAGTTCACCATGGAAGTCCAGTTCACCATGGGAGTCTAGTTCACTATGGAACTCCAGTTAACCATGGAAGTCCAGTTCACCATGGGAGGCCAGTTCACTATGGGACTCCAGTTCACCATGGAAGTGCAGTTTACCATGGAAAGTCCAGTTCACCATGGAAGTGCAGTTCACCATGGAAGTCCAGTTCACCATGAGCAGGAGTCGGAAACCTGTAGTTCCAGAGCTGTTATTTATTTAGGACTACCCGTCTCGTCTTCACCACACAGTGCATTGCGGCTCTTTAAATGTTTGTGCATTTTACACCGAATTCGAAATAGAACGATCCTCTTGTTGTTATGTTCGTCGGATCCTGATATACATCTGTACGTCACAGGTCATTTATCGACAGGTCTCGCAGTGGTGGGGTAAAGTGTGGGTACTCACAACTGGCAGCAAAATGTTTACTACCTCGCTTGGTGTGCAGGAGGTCGTGGGTTCGATCCTGATCCTGACGCCTGCTGCTGTATATCTGGAGTTTTCGTCTCTCTCTCCCCTTTGTCGCGTGGATTTTCCTCCGGGTCCTTCGGTGTTTCCCCTCCACATTTTGAATAAACATCATGCGTTTAGGGTATTTGGGTTGCAATACATTTCCAAACGATAAGCCACTTTGTTGAGCTATCATTTGTGAAAGCCGGATCGCTTCTGAAAAATAGATAGCTTAGTGTGGGCCTTACCTGGTAAAATTAATATTTTTTAGTTTAGTAAATAAATACGCCAGGCCAGCGTGCGAGAGGAGGATACAAGACCTCTATACTAGTCTATAGGGTCTCCCCAGAGCTCACCTCGAGTGTAGGCCTCTTCCGCCAGCAGTGGCGAGAGCGAGACATTGCAGGTGCTGCGCTTCTACCCTTTCCCACCCCACCTATTCCTGTTTTTTTTTACAAAATTACACTTCTTCAACAACCTAGTCGTTCTTTAAC